TTTGGACAGATGCATCCTTTGAGCTCTTGCATTTTACCCGCAAGGTCTACGATTTAATTTTTAACACTTTTCAGTAGTTAGTTTACAACTAAAAAAATGAAATATAAAGTGTATATTAAACACCCTCACATTCCAAAACATTTAATAATTCATCTTATGGAACTTCCTCATAATGAAAATATCATTAACTAATATTTGGATTTAACTCCCCAATTCCGGAATAGGAAAATTTTCGATGCTTGCAAATACTTTTGAACTGTTTCACAAAACATTAGCACCATAATAAATAAGAATAACTTGAATGAACTTAAATAAAAGGTATTCAGGTTCCATTTCCACCCAAAAGAAATGAAAAGTAACAAAACTTACAATTAATTAATGACTGTAATTTGGGTTCTTTTACCTTTATCCCAATTATTCCCCACAAGGATCAAAATTATGGAAGATGTAAATAAATTCACAAAAGAAATTTTACAAATAGCATTTTTATGTCTTTGCCAGCCTCAACGCTTACATGTTTTCTCTCAAAAGCAAAATGCCTTAAAATCTGATTTAGACATTTTAAATAATGCATTAACTTTAGCAACACCACAACATGAATAATGAAATGGATAATCATGATTCTTTGAATTTCAACAAAATATTTTCCCTATGAAATGCAATCCATTCCACTATTTTCTTGCATTATTCTCAGTTGTTACTTTAAATACAACATTGAGAAATCAAGAGACCCCAAAACCAAATAGATTTTTTTGGATCTTATCACTCTTCCTAATTTTGTTTGCCTGAGGTTTAAAACATAACGTGAAAGTCTACACTTAATCTTTGACAACCATCTCAAACCTTAAGACTCTGCTTGGCAGCTAGGCAATTAGGCACTTAAGTAGCCTCGGAGCATAGCCCAATGGTGCAAAGGACAAGAGTAAGGTTATCTCACGCACTGCTAGCAGCCGTAGTATGGGGGTTCGATTCTTGAGACATGGAATTGGACTCTTTGTAAGCGTAGTGTACAAGCAGCTATTGTTCCCTGACCTGTTGGGGCACATCCTGCGATTTACTTCCCTCACAAAGTTTTAGGGACTGGACGGTGGAGACCCTTAAGGTTGAGGTTCAACCTTTTAATTAGGCACTTAAGTAAGCTTCCGTGCCTGTTGAAGAATGAGCCGGCGACTCATAGGCAGTGGCTTGGTTAAGGGAACCCATCGGAGCCGTAGCGAAAGCGAGTCTTCATAGGGCAATTGTCACTGCTTATGGACCCGAACCTGGGTGAACTTAAGTAAGCTTCCATACTTTCTGCTTGATATTTTTCTCTCTCTGACCATCTATTTATACTAATTGACGTACATCTTTATGGTTAAATGAGAAATAAGTTGCTTTCCAAAGGAAAAATCTTACGTGACCCTCTCCAAACAGAATGCATAATTGGCGCCCCCCTATTGGAGGGGGTGCCTGTGGACCTGACACCTTGGACGGACAAGGCCTACGATACTTCTCCTTTCCAAATGTGGTTTTTTTCTTAGTAACATCACAAAAGCATATACATACATGTGAATTGTAAGATTATCTTTCTCATCATTGCGTATATAATAGGTTTTGGAGTTTCTAAAATTTATCTCCAAAAGCTCAAAGCCTATTTGAGGCTTCTAGGCATAAGGAAGTATTAATCTATTGGCAAAGATATATTTCAACAAAGTTTGGCTAGTCAAAGATTGCACTTGTGAACTCTCAACCCCATTGTGAGTGTCAAAGGTTATTATTATTATTTTTTTCCTCCCTTCAGTAGCATTTGCTGCATATGAATCATATAAGCCATTCTAGAATGGATTCTTATCTAGTATAGATCCATGTTGATTGGTCTGTTTTATGGTGCACAATAATGGAGAAGTCACTATTTCGTATGTTCCTGTGCTGTCACCATAAGTTGAGGAAAATTCTAATTTGTTTCGCCATAGATTTAAATTTTAGTCAAAAACATATTTTTTCACTGAATATACAAAGGTCAGGAAAAGGACAGAAAGATTAATCAATTGTTTGCAAAGAAACATTGATTGAATACACATTGTCAAAAGATTACAGAACCAGATTTAATTTTATCCAATAGAAGATTCTTAATCTTTTTTCTTTATTTATTTATTTATTTATTTATACTTGAATCCTCTCAATTGAAGCAATTATCTGAATTTAATATCTAGATAGCATGCAAATAAGAGTGTTCCTTTTGTGAGATTGACAAGCCAGAGTATTTCCATGCAAACACCATGTAATAATTTTCTAAATACAAAACAAAAATTTTAATGCTCTAGATTGAAATAATTACTTACCCAATTGAGGAACGAAGAAGTTACACACAAAAATCATATAACATGACTTTAAATTGTTGAAAAAAATGGGTGATTTGTGTGTAGATATTTATCAATTAATATAATCAATTAAATAATATAAACATAAGAAGAGAAGAGTTAGAAGTGCAAGTTTTATGGAATCACACCAAAGACACTATCCTAAAATCATGTTGCCTTGCACTCGTGTGCTCCAAAATAAAATTCATATAGCTCACAGTCAGTTCTACTTCTATGGACACGATCATAAGGAGATAAAAAAATGAGCATTTATCTTTTTTTTAATTTAATTATTATTTAATGTGATAAATGAAAATTTACTATTTTATCCCTTTTTAAAATATTAAAAATGTGGTCAAAGTCAAATCTTTGGTCAACTAACGAAATTGTGGATGAAAACCGTCCAAATAGGCTTCACCTGCAACGTTTGAAAATGTTAGGGGTGACGGCTGCAACAAATCAAAGATTTAGGGAAAGTCTACTAATATTTCAAAGGTTTGGGATTTCTGTTGCAATTTTTCCTTAAAAATAAATACTAAGCAATATTTTAGCACCAATTTTTAAAATTCATAAAAGAAGTATAAGTAAATCAACTTTTTTTAATTATGTGTAATTAATTATGCAGGATGTTTGTTGATGCGTGCAAGAGACTTCGCATAATGAAAGAATCAGAAGCAATTGGACATGGTATGCACCTTCATAGAAGAATTATCCCTTTTTATCTTAATACATTTGCTCAACAATTTACATTTATATCCATTAATTATATCTCCTTTTCATAAATCAATCTCGAGTGTATTTTAAGTAATTTCTTAACAATTTTGTCATCAATTTCAGCAAGAGCCATGGAAAAATGAAAGAGTAGATGCTAAATCGTGCTTACAAAGCTCGTTAGCCACGCCGATGGACCCATCGAGGTGCATGTAACATATTCTTCTATGGAAAAAGCTTCTTGTATGCTTCCTTTCACAGCACTCTTCACAGCATTTTAAAAATGCTGACATGGCATTAAGAGGCGGGAAATTTTTGAAAAAAATGGGACTGGCTGGAGGCTCGTTTTACCGGTTTACAACCCGGCCCATTTGAAAGCAACCCATTTCTCCTCGAAAATCAGTTGAAAACGAAATCCACAAATCAGTTTCCCGGCTTCGAAGAGCACCTCCGTCGAGACTGGTTCGGGAACGGGGAAAAAGGCATAAGTGCTGTGAAATACTGAACCCATTTCTCCACGAACTGTGCTTGAAAACAAAATCCCCAAATCAGTACACCCGGCTTCGAAGACCTCCTCCCTCGCGACTGGTTCCGGAAAGGAGAAAAAGGCATAAGCACTATGAAATACTCGGTTCGGCTTCGAAGACGTCCGATCCTGAAAATTGTCTTTCTCCGTTCCCGGTTAGAAATTCTTTCTCCAACTTTGGGTTTTTATTTTTTTGGTTTCTCCATTGGAGATTGTATAAGAAGAAAAGGAAGTTGTAGTAATGAAATATAGAAAGAATATGGTTGGTGCTTTGAGTGGTTGGTTCAATGTCTCCGTTGCCTATTTTTATAGAGAATGAGAGGAAGATTGTTTATATATTGAATGAGACATTATGTAAAAGTTAAAAAAAATTAGTAAAATTTGCAGTTAATTTTTCTATATATTGAAGTATATATAGGTTTGTCTATCTCGAAATCAGGCTAAAAAAATGTTGAAATAGCTACTATACATGGTTTCCATTCTATCTAAACGTATCTTAATTCAGGGGGATGTTCAGGCTACTGATTAATCATCTGTTTAAGTTTCTTATCCTCTGGAGAAGTTGGTATAATAATCAGATTCATTAAAGTAAAATCGAACACTTCTCTCCAGTCCCTGAGTTTATTTGGAAGCTTAGTATCGTAATATCCCAAAGCGGCTGTCTTCATCTTTGCTTGAATGCTCTCTGTATTTGGAAATTGAATGTTTGTCCTAAAATGATGAATAAGTAATGCTTAACATTTGACTTTGTTGATTACGAGGCAGGAAAAGAAATAATGGAAGTATTGGATGATGAAGTACTCGTAGAATCCGACAATGAGAACTTGATGGACAATGTAATCATGTTGGAAGATGATAACGTTGGAGTGGATGCTACAATTGTGCTGGAGGTGGGTATGAAATTCAATGATGAGAAAGAGTTGTTTGAATTCTACAAAAAATATGCGTACGAAGTAGGTTTTCCTGTACGAAGAAGAAATTCCAGAAAGTGCAATGGTGTAGTGACGTATGTCACATTGACTTGTAGTCGTGAGGGACAATGACGCTACCAGAAAGGCGCTTCTTTGAAGCCACAACCAACAATTCAAATGGGCTGCAAAGCGAGGATAACTGCTTCCTCAGATGTTCGTGGAATATGGAGAATTTGCACGGTTGACCTCAAACATAATCATAAAATAAGTCGGTCGAAGTCGAGGTTGTATTGATGCAACCGTGAATTGAGTGAACATGTAAAACGAAGGTTAGAAGTGAATGATATGGCTAGAATTCCTTTGCATAAGAGTTACAATTCTGCAGTGGTTGAAGTTGGTGAGTATGAGAATATGACTTGCATTGAAAAGGATTGTCGAAATTATGTGGAAAAAGTGAGGTGATTAAGACTAGGCGAAGGAGATGCCGTGGCAATACAATCCTATTTTTCGGAGATGCAAGCACGTTCATCTGGGTTTTATTTCTCTATGGATTTGGACGACGAGTCACGGCTTAAGAATCTTTTCTGGGCCGATAATAGATCTAGGCAAGCATATAAGGAATTTGGTGACGTAGTGACATTCGATACCACTTACCTAACTAATAAATATGACATGCCTTTTGCTCCTTTTGTTGGAGTAAATCATCACGGACAGTTGATACTGCTTGGATGTGGGTTGTTGTCAAATGAGGATACAGATACATTTGTTTGGCTGTTCAAAACATGGATGTTGTTCATGCACGGTAAAGCTCCTAACGGAATTATTACCTATCAAGACAGGGCAATACAGAATGCAATTAAAATTGTGTTTCCAAATACAAGGCATAGATGGTGTCTGTGGCATATATTGAAGAAGTTGCTCAAAAAATTTGGATACCACGTGGATAAGAGCTCCATTTTTTCGTGCATACATAGAGTAGTGTATGACTCACAGTATGTTGAAGAGTTTGAAAGAGGTTGGGAATTGATGATTGATACGTATAACTTGTACGACAATGAATGGTTGTCCGGTTTGTATGAGAACATGGGTCGATGGGTGCCATGTTATTTGAAAACATATTTTTGGGCGGGGATGTCAACTACCCAGCGCAGTGAGAGTGTAAATGCGTTTTTCGACGGTTATGTGCATTCGAAGACATCATTGAAATAATTTGTTGAACAGTACGAACGAGCACTGCGAAATAAGGTTGAGAAGGAGTTTCATGCAGATTTCAAGTCGTTTTCGCAGATGGTGCCATGTGCAACGCTATATGAAATGGAAAAGCAAGTTCAGGCATTGTATACCATATCCAAATTTCGAGAGTTTCAAGATGAGATAACTGGGAAGGTCTACTGCGATGTCATATTTACGTCTGACAGGTGTTCGGAGAGGATATATGAGGTCGAGGAGGATGTCATATATGAAGACAAAGTGAGGAAGAAAAAATTCACCGTTTGGTTTCGTGCAGAGATGTGCGATATTGTTTGCAGTTGTCATCTGTTTGAGTTTCGAGGAATTCTGTGTAGGCATGCCATTTCAGTGTTAATGCGTAACGCCGTCACATGCCGGACCGGTACATATTAAGGAAATGGAGGCGAGATATTTGTAGAGCTCACACGGGAGTGTCAGTGAACGATGCCGGTTTGGTTAGCACTCCTAATCAGGTCAGGTATGAGAACATGTGCAATGAATTTGCTACATTGGCAGGCATAGCCACAAATAATGAAGACCGATGTTGTGAGATAGTAGAATGGATTCGGTCACAGTCCAAGCAGATAATGTCTACCACACAGATTTCTCAGACGAATAGCGTTTCTCTGCCCAGTTTGCATGTAGCATCGCAGTGCACAGCGTCACAAGACACGGGCAATGGCAATATACAAGATCCTAAATGCACAAAACGGAAGGGTGTGCCAAGGAAGCTTCGTAAGAAAAGCCCACTGGAGTTAAGTTCGAAGAAATCGAAGGTATTATGTGTTTTTTCGTGCCGTAATTTATCAGAACGGATACTTAAATTAAAACTTTATGCTATCCTACAGGTAGTATTGTCTTCAAGTATAGGACGTACACCACGACCGAGGAAGAACAATGTTGTACAGATGCCCCAGTAAGCAGAATATTCCATACCCACTCCATGTTCATTTCCTCAATTTACTTTGGTAAGTGATAAATTGGTTATTTGAACGTTCAAAGGCCGCAATTTCTAATCATTTTTCATTGCCTGTAGGATGATCGTTGGCAAGAGCGCCATGTAGCTACACAACAGTTGGCGGGTTCAAATTCCATTGCACCATCACCGACAAATGTTATGTTCCATTACCCAGGTAATTATATGATTTCGTATGTATAAATTGCATATGTTTCTTCCCCCATATTCTTTAACACGACATATTTTTACAGTTGGTACTACAATCCCATTCCAACCACCGATGCCACCTTCTCAAAGTGCCATAGCGGGTTGGATGTATAGTGCTACCCAATCTTCAAGAGGACCCTTATTCAAGCCTACTAGTGAACATGAAGAACAAGGTCATTTCTGTGGAGAATTTTCAAAATAGTTGTTTATTGTTTTTGTTAATGCAAGATATTAGTGTTCATATTCTTTATATGTTCACTTCAACTCAGGAACCAAAAGATAGCAGAAAATATGGTGTTGAGAATACTTTTAATAGTGGTAATACCTTATCAAAAGCTGGAACCAGAAGATAGCAGAAATTATGGTGTTCATCGTCTGTTGATATGTTCATCTAGAAGCTCAGTCCATCACTGCATCTGGCCATCTGCTGATGTTGCTTTTCCTTTTGAGTGTGTCGTTTTAGTCTACAATGTTAGGGCATGAACCATTATGCTTATGGTTGATAAAGAGTACTAGATGTTGCTTGAATGTAAATTGAGACTTGTTGTAATTTTAGGATAACTTCCTCGGATATTTTTTTGTGATGTTTATCGAGCCATAAAAGAGTTCGTCAATAATCCTCAAAACTATGGTACGATTACATACTTTTATTGCTGTGAACTCATTGCTGGCTAAGTCAACCTGGTCGGCCGATCCATTGGCTGCTATTTGCCGTCCCATTACTGTCTAGGCGCTGGTGTCCTCTTCAGTGTAAGAACCAGTAATTGTGTGCAAATGGCTACTTCTAACATTCATTACCTTGTTTTCTTTTGAGTGATTAGTATATCATGTAACTGCCATATTGACAATTATCTTCCTCCATCAACTGTGTGCAAATGTGATAATTATATTCCTCTATCAACTCAGCAAAGTTTTCCTGTAATGGTGCACCACCAGCTTCCAGTCCAACTACAGGCACAGATCCAGCAAGAGGCAAATTATATGAAGAGCCATTGACTGTTAAATTACATTGCAGAATGTATCAGGCATTCCAACATCAACTTTTGATGGTGCATAGGTTTTTTCATTGATCCAACCTTTGTATATGGTATTCTCTATTATAGAGAATCAATTCTTGAAATTAGGTTCCAATTGATTCCATAATTTAATTTTTGTTTGGGTCTTTGTCATTACTATTTTTTGTGTCCATATTTTTGAAATTATATCATGGTTTAGATTTATCTAACGTAGGGTGTAACAACAAACTCAGATTTCTGTTAATCTATCAAATTAACATCATTGGAAACAAACACTTGATTCATCATAAATAATCAAACATAGGAAAAGGGCATTGTGGAGTTTGGAAAATGACAAGCAATATAATTTCTAGCATTTCAAAAGTTCCCGATCACATGAAAATAACAAGCAATAGAATCAGTAGATGTTAAATTCATCAGCCAAACATACTGAAACCTGCAATTATAACTGCAGAGAATGGAAAACAATGAATTAAGGAAGAAGAAGATGGAGCTTTCTAATATTCAAGCTTAAAGAATTTGTGAATTACATCCAAGTATTCTTAGGCAATCAGCCCAACTAGCTAAGTGTCTAATTATCCAACTAACCAACAGAAGAAGTATAATACTCAAGACTACAAGTCCAGATTTCATTTTTACAACTAAATAGCAATCACATGAAACAAAAGCATTCAAAACTTGAGAGAAGATGACACTTATAATAGGCAATTGGAATAAGACCACATTGGCTCATTCATAATTTGAAGTTTGAAACTTGAGAGAAGACAACATTGCCACATGCTCTAAACTACTACAAACTGGAATGGAATTGCCACCACATTACGCTACATAAAAACATGCCGTACTACACACTAATACAACAATTCAAGTTTCACATTCCAAGTCATTCTCATCTGCTGAAACTCGTGTCCCCTTGCGCATCTTTATGTTCAGGGAAATCTCCAAGTCCTTCTCATCCGTTAACTTAGCCAGTGATTTCAACATGTGCGACAAATCATCCACATGCTCAAGTTCATTTCTACCACTTGACTCCCCATCGTCATGCAATGTACATTTTTCACCGGGCTTATTCTTACACCATTTGAACAACTTGTAATCGCGGGTACAACAATGAAACAATAGCCCTTTATTTTCATTTTCATTGTTGTTTTCGACCTCCATCCATTTGACGAATCCTACACCGCAGTTGGGGCATCTTCTCTTTTTCGGGCATTCCGACATCATATGTCCCGGCATTCTACAAGAATGACAAATTCCCCTATTCTTTCCCGCCATCCAAGTATCCTGGTTCAGCCACAATAAAGAACCAATGAATGGTGCAACAAATTCAATGTCTAATTCAAATTACAGGAGAATTCTACATTAAACTTCAACTACCAGTATTCTCACAACACATAATTTGACGGACAGTTAGAATATATTTTTCTAGGACACAGGGGAAGGCCCATGTAGTTCTATTACTTGCTACCAAAACATTTGACAGACATCTCAATTAGCTAAACATTTGACACGCATCTCATCCCAATATACAACCATTCATTCAATCATCATAGACAGACTCATAATGGCAATGGGCTTTCGACTCCTCTCATACAGTGGAGTTTGAAAACAAGAAAAATTATAGCTATTAAGTCCAATAAACAGCAAGGAAATATACAACACATGTATCTTTCGAGGAAATTAAATAAGCAATGGTTGATTTTAATTTACGGGATCTAAGAAAATACCAATTGGAGAATTTTTTGACAGAATATCGTGTTTCAATTTTTACATGTTTAGCCCAGAAACATAGTGCAAGTGCAGATCTATACCCATCGTCGTTCTCAATTTTAGAACCATAGAACACATTCACAAGAAAACAAGAGAATCACATTTTTGGCCTTCTTTTCACTTACCCAATACGAAGGACGTATTCCACCAGTCGTCTATTGACAATGGAGGAGGTGTAACGATGGGCCACTTCGGTGGTCGCCTCGAAAATCGCCACAGCTGGAGGGTATTGTTCTTAACAGGAAACCGGGCATAGATACTGCAGAGTATCTATGGTGTTTTCCCGATCGGAGGCAAGGTCGACGGTCGCCTGGAGATTTGGAGAGGAGGAGTTCGCACCGACTACAATGGAGAGAGTTTTGGGGGTTAGGTTTACAGTCGGGTCCGAAAATCATTCATAATAACCCGATTACCCTTGCTCCGCTTAAGGAGTTGTATGTTTGATTTTTGTTTTTTTTTTGTTTAACATTTTCCACCTCAGCACTGTGAAACTTGCAGTGTTAATTGCTGTACGTGTAGCGGGAACAAGGCCATGTATTATCAATTAATTATGATTCATATTTAAAAATCTTTTTTTTTTTAATTGAGAGTATTTATGATCGAGAGTATTTATGATCTCCAAATTCTGGTTGACTAGTTGATATATTGAGTATGAGAGCTATATGGCGCAATTTAATAGACTATTTGAACATAAACCATCTGTATAAAAATATCATGATAAAAAGTGCAAGCTCGAATATCCATTTGGGGTGACTTGTGCAATGTATCTATTTTTCATTTGTTATTTTGGTGTCAAAATTGTTATGATCTAATATAGTTGTAAAATACCCGATTACATTGAGTATTTTGCAGTTGGTGTAGCATTGAATTGAACAAAATAGACATAAAGTAAATAAATAATTCATCTTCTTCAAATTTGTAGAAATAGAATTCTGCCATTTTAGTTAAAAGTCAACTAAATTTTGTGGAATCCTCAAATTTTTATATATTTATAAACACAAATATATGATTCGTGTCATGAAATATCTAGAATTCAAGTTCAAGATACAAAGGTAAAATTAACTACAATTCATCAATGTCAAAATTAATGAGGTCTATTATATTAAAATATTTGAATTTATTTATTTTTTATTTTTTTAATCTTTTTGGAAAAGATAGCATATTTAGTTTATATATATTTTTTTAATTACTATCGACGGAATTTATGTTGTCAATATACTTTGCTTGTTTGCCCAATCAACAATCATCGACACAACTTCAAACGTACCATCTCTTAAGAGGATTGTTGCAGTGTTTTAGAGGGAATTCTTAAGTTGGTCGAGAACTTGAAGCATGGTGTCTTTGTTTGATGTTAGCTGAGTGATGAAAAACTCAATTCTTTTCATCCATTGCAATTGCATCGATAAGTTCATTTCTATCAACGATTTTTCGTTGTGTGGAGCTTTATTCAAGCACATCACTTTTTAAACATTGACCAACTTTATTTATAATGAACATCGGTATAGGATCATCCAAAATAATTTTGATCGAAGTGATTGAAATCAAATTTGAAATATTTTGACCTCTATTCTTGTCCATAGTGGCAAAACTTTGTATTAATGTTGTATGACGAAATTTCGTGTATTAAAATATTAAAATCGTTACAAATTGTATTTTGAGAAATATAAGTGATGTTGACCTTCTTGTAATTGTAAAATTGTAAAAATGAAGACGAGGGGCTACGTAGCTTGAACCTGGTCTTTGAGAATTCGTTGAAAATTTGATTTGTCGAGACTTGACTTGTTCAGAACTTTAATCTTGAGGCTTGGATTTGGACTTGAATTTGATTTGAAGAAGACTTTGATCTTCTTGCACTTGGCGTGAACCTGTTTCATTCGAAAAAGATTTTAGTCTTCTTGGGG